TATATCTAGTAACTGCTAGGGCATTCTACGAAGGAACAAGATAGTTCTAGAAACGTGGCGTAACACTAGTCACGTGACCTCGCTGACGCAACAATATATATATATATATCCCACAGAAGAATTGTTTGTTTTGAATTTTGCGCAAAGCTACACGAGAGATATCTGCGCTAGCCGTCCCTAATTTAGCAGTGTAAGAGAAGAGGGAAGGCAGTTAGTCATCACCACCCACCGCCAACTCTTGGGCTACTGTTACGTATCTGCTTGTTAATTTCCGGTATAAATTATTTCCGAGGAACTTCAGCGATACAAGTCTCTTATTGATTAAACCAGTTTATTCTTTCTCGATACAAACTTTTAGTACACAGTAATTCCACAATCAATACGTTTCTCGTCACTTTAAATTTAACAACTTTTATAATATACGCTATAAATAACAGCGATTCAAAATCTCGATAACTTCGCTTTCAACGAGTGCAAAACACTCGCTCGAAACAGAATCGTACCCGGAACTCTCTTCATTCATTCCCGCAGGCTTTCTCTGTTTAAAACTACTTCATAGTCTTGAAATGACATTTTACCTGACTAGAATGACTTACAACCGAGAGGAAGAGTCAGTGTGTGACAGTTGTTGTCTAATAGAAGTCCTCTCCTGGAACATTGGACTTTTGATGATATTGTAAAGGTCCATGACTTTGATCTCATTGTAACCTACGGCTTACAAGAGTAAGCTGCCAACATCTGGAGCATCCAGGTCAGTCGATTGAGTTGACTGTGGTGTGAGAGAAGCACAAACTAATGATGGTTTGGTGTCTGGTGAATCTTAAACCAGGTGGGGAGGTCTGTACAGGTCTTTCAGGCTAACATAAGTCAGAGTACTTCAACCCCATCTCTAGTCAGAGCTACCTGGAGACGGTGAGAGACTGAAAGCACTATTGTAGATGTTGCCTATTAACAGGAGCCATCTCAACAGCAGATGAAATGTCATGTGCTGAATCAAGTAAGTGGGTCACGGGGAAGAGATGAGCCTCCCCAAGCCACGAGGTATACTGCTAAGGTGAACATGATTCCTAGAGGATTTTGGGGTCTAGTAAAGCCAAAAATGCCACCCTGGATCAAAAGACTACTGCTCATCACAGTATTAGAATCCCTGAGAGCTCCTATCAAACTGTTCATGAAGTATTCCAGGCAGGTAACTGTCTGGAATAGCTGGACTATAGAGCAGGTTGCTCAATGTCTGGTCTCCAGAGTCTTGATTCTCAGGTCCTCAACTCTGTCAAGTATTTGGAAGAGAAGCAACTCTGAGACTGTGAGTTATAATCGAGTTAAACTATTCTGGTGGAAACAGAGCAATCTATCGAGCTGAATTCAAAGCTCAGAAGAGGGGTGTCACAGAATGCTTAACCACATATTGAAACTATATGTGCTATTTACATGGTAACGCTTACCCAGCAATAGCCTCAATAGGTCGTGAAGAAATCCATGTAGACAGGTTTGAGGAAGGAATACTGAGCAAGACAATGCAGCATTAGGGAGAAAGACCTTTTCAACCTTTTTAGAGGCAGTTTCTGTCAAAATGCAATATAAGGTAATAACTTCAAGTTGGTTGCTGAAGAGGAAGAAACCTGTAACAAAAGCTGTAGAGACTGTATATTGGATAAACCACCCTATCAAGGAAACCACATCATACCAAGTTTGAACCTAACTGAGGGGTAACTAACTGTCCATGCAGCAAGGTATTGCAATGCACATACATTGATATCCAGTGAATTGGCAGAGCTATTCCTATCATCTCATGGTGTATGTGTTCTAGAAGCGGGGAGCCAAGCACATACATTGCCTTTGAAACATTGGGCCACTTTCAATCAACTGCCCTACCTTGCCAAACAGTAAGGTATACAATGCTAACTGATTTGACTGACAGTACAAGAGGTTCATGAGAGCTAACAGTAAGCAGTGAATACTGCAGCTGTAGCTCTTGAAAAATAGGGAATCTAATGTTGGATATGGCCATCATTTTTTTTTTGGGGGGGGGAGTAAGATAAACAACTTGTACCAAAAAGTGTGGTGGTCAGCCAAGCACTTTCAAAACTGGGCAATCCTTTGTATATGCCTATTAAAATAAATGAGCGCGAGATAGAGTTATTGGTTGATACAGGAGTGGAAAGAACATTGGCAGATCTCATAGTATATCAGGCACCCTGAGTGAAACTACAACTCAGGCCAATTGACACGAACTGTCAAATGGATATAAAGTAAACATGAAAAGAGGTCATACTCTGACTATGTCTAGAATTGCTTGCTTACAGAATTAAGAATTACAGAATTGTCGCCAACCTCGGTTCTGGTATTGACATTTTTGGAATGAATGTACTGTAAAGTTTAATGCTCAGTTTCACCTGTATAAAAGCTGAACTAATGTTCTATGGCAGAGTTGTCTAGTGTCAACCTGATGGACCCAATGAATAGTGGACTGCATGAGCATATGTGGGAGAAGAAGTTAAACTACCCCATGTAAAGAGGTTGTGTTTCACAGTTTACTATAGAAAATGTCTATTGCATCAGTGCAGTGTAATGTGGTAACTGAGCCCAGACATAAAATAGGTTGTTTCAAATCCAGAAAAAAGCCCTATTAGTTGAGCATTTATGTGTCTGAGGGTGGATAAAGTTCTGGTGTTGTTCTGGAATTATGGATGATCACTTATCTCGCTGCAAGCTGGAGTAGTCACATGAACAGTGAATGAAATGGAAGTAGCTGATACTAGTAGTAATGCAATGGTTGAATCTGTCACATCACATCCGAAAATAGACAATCAGATATCAACACATCTAAGATTACTAGTTAGGATTGTGCAGACAATTTAAATTCAATGCAGCAGCAACACAATGATATACCAATGTATTTCTTGGACCAGACGATTGATTTGATAGAACCAACATCACATATCATCATATAGCTACACGACTAATTAAACAACCACTGTGCAAGTTTCCCTGGAGTACTAGAAAGGTCGAAAAAAGCTGAAATAGAGGAATGTTAAAAGATGGAATCATACAGTCCTCAGAAAGTAAGTTGTGCTTATATGCACAAAAGTGGAATTTCTTTTGAAGTATTATGGGTAGAGAAGAAATCTTCACAGATTCTGTTAAAATTGCAGTGGTACGAGATTAGCCTCAACATGTGACCAAAGGAAAAGCCTGTAGTTTCTTTGGTTTTGTGTAGCATTACCAACAATTTGTGGCCAACTTCTCGGAGAGTTACTCGCTTTTATTGGCAGAAACACACTTCAAATGGAGTGAGGAATGTGAGCAAGTATTTCAGTTCCTGAAATATGCTTTAATTGAAGCCCTGTCGTTGATATATCCATGACAAATTTGTAAATTACTGCTAGATACTTATACTTGTGATAGTGGGATCAGAGCAGTGTTATCACAGCTGCAGGATGGAGTAGAGTAGAACATGTGATTGCATATGCTAGTTGTACCCTAATGAACCCTGAATGCAGATACTATACAACAAAGAAAGAACTATTTTACATTGTTGTCTTTGTACAATACTTCCAACACCACTTCTTTGGTAGAAAGTTTACTGTTTTAGTGGATCATACATCGTTGAAATAATTGATGAACTTCAAAAACCTTGGATGGATGAAACGTGCTGGAAACAGTGTTGCAGGAGTATGATTCAAATATACATTATTACCCGGGCATACACCACGGAAATGAAGATGGATTGTCTTGCCACGCAGGAAGACCTTGTCCGTTTGTCAAATGTGTGGATCCTGGATACTGTGTGCGAGATAGAGATAGAGTGACAGATAGAGTATGGAATCCCACTAGTGGAATGGATGCCTGATTAATGCTTTGGGAACTCTAGAGAGAACAACTGAAGTACCAAGATTTAGTGTCGGTGCTCCTTGCAGTA